GTCGGAGGGAGAAGCAGACTCCCTGCTGAGCAGGGAGCCCGATGCGGGACTCGATCCCGGGACTCCAGGGTCATGACCTGAGCTGAAGGCAGTCGCTTAACCAACTGAGCCACGCAGACGCCCACCAAATATTATTTTTATGCTTCAGTCTGCAGTGGCCTATTTTGGTAAGAGATATAATGAATCCATAAAGTTCATCAAGGAAGTAATGTCCTCAAGGTAGAAAACCCCTAACAAAAATGTGCAACTGTCTGAGAGCCATGCGGGCAACACTCTGCCAGGTCTTCCCATCTCTCTGTCCAGGACATTTTCTTTGTGAAACTGATGGTCGTCCTGTCTGATTAGTGGACTCATGAGCTGCTGCGTTTGCCTTTTTCTTCTTGACAGTATTTTTCTCAATGTCCTTCAAAGAATGGTTGACACGTTTCCAGCTCTTCCATCTGGGGCCCAGCTTTCTGGAGGGTGGGGGAGAAGGGAAGGAAGGAACTGACAGTTGTCTCACACTATAATGTGTTGTGTATAGTGTGCAACAACCTAGAGGGAGCCTTTCTTCAGACCACCTGCCTTTACGGCAAGGGCGCCAAAGGCCTGAGGAGGACTTAACAAGATGTGTTTTAACATTCAGCACTTGGCAGAATGAAAAATGGAGAGGAGCCTGAGCCCAACTGCAGAACACTGAATTATATACCAACTGAAAGCTTAGATACTGGGCAAAACCCAGCCCCCAGACTCCTGTTTACGGATTAAAACTACTCATATCTCTTGTTCACATCACTACTCACAAACCTGCAACACTAGTGTTATTCCTTATGTTTCAGTAACATCGTCTATTAGAAAAAGCATGGGTATGGAGACTGAGACATTCAGTGTGAATTATCATTCTGTTATAAACAACATGGCTTTTATCAAATCATTTCACCTTTCTGGCTCACTTTCAACAAATGTAAAATGAGAGATAATAAATCCGACCTGTTAGGAAAGATGTAAAGGTAAGAAATAATGCCTAGACTAGTGCTAGGTTAAAGAAGGTACTCAGGAAAGAAAAATGATCAGAAAATAGGAAGCCTAGGGGCACCTGGGTGGCTCAGGCGTTAAGCGTCTGCCTTCGGCTCAGGTCATGATCCCAGGGTCCTGGGATCGAGTCCCACATCAGGCTCCCTGCTCAGTGGGAAGCCTGCTTCTCCCCCTCCCACTCCTCCTCTGCTTGTGTTTCCTCTCTGGCTATCTCTCTCTCTGTCAAATAAATAAATAAAATCTTTAAAAAAAATAAAAAAGAAAGAAAGAAAATAGGAAGTCTAGTGTCAATGAGTTCTGCATTTACCACCTAACTAGCCATGTGACCATATCCAAGTTACATTATCATTTGATTTCCATGGAAAATAGGTGTACTATTAACAGTTAATCCATCTAACCTCAGCAATATTACATGGAATGATTCAAGAATTAACAGCTGCAAAAGCACCAAATACAACGTAAGGTGGTATTTTTGTTGGAAGCTGGGTGGCATGAAGGCACTTCATGGTGTGAGTAATACATCCAAGTGGTTTATAACCTGACAAATTCAAAAGCTGCTCAGATGGTGGATAAGGTGTATGTTACAAAGTAGGCATTTTAACCTTCTGCTTGGTGACTGTGTCATGCCTTTATGTCATCACTGTTACAGTGACTTTATTTCTAAATTGTTCTGGAAAACAGATACTCATGTTTTATTATATTCTAACTGAATTCCTTGAAAGAATGAACCATACCCGAGCTCTTTTCAATTCCAGAGAACCTTAGACACACTTCAAAAACAAGAAATTCCTTTCTCTCAACGGGGACTTTGAGCCCATAAACACCACTACTTGGATTATCAAAGAGAAATAACGTCTTCAGTCCTAGAAACTCATAATAACACTTATTCTGTCATAAAGGTTCACCTTGATGCTAAACACAGATTTTGGGGCACCTTGGTGGTTCAGTGGTTAAGCGTCTGCCTTCGGCTCGGGTCATGATCCCAGGGTGCTGGGATTGAGCCCCGTATCGGGCTCCCTGCTCTGCGGGGTGCCTACTTCTCCGACTCTTGCCCCCCCTGCTTGTGCTCTCTCTCTCCCTCTCCCTCAAATAAAATCTTAAAAAAAAACAAAACATAGATTTTAAGATTTAAAATAACTGATAATTTAGTCAAATGAGTTTGTGCTCTGGTTATTTTGAAGACTTGGATGTATATGACTTAAAAAATAAAATCTGAACAAGCATTTCCAAGATCACTGATGCTTTAACACCTAACCCTGTAGAGCCAAACAATTTGACCTAGAGAGGA